TAAAATACAGGTAGATATTAATGAAGTGGTTTCCTCCAACTGATTTACAAGAAAATAAAACCATCTTTACTTATTTTTTCTGTATTTGGAACATGACATTTTATAAACTCCTGCACTGAGTTTACTGTTCTCTGCACTAACAAAAATATATTCATAACGAATGAGCTTCACAACTATTTCCTCTTACTTGGAGGACTGAGCTGCTTCCCAGTGTGGCTGATATGTGTAAGAGGTTCGTGCTTTAGCACTAACAGATCTGGGTTTGAATCCCAACTATCCAGGCAGAGCTGAAAGAAAAGCCAGAAGCCCTCAAAGTTTAACCACTACCCGTGTAATGATGATGAACACCCTGCTAGCAGGAAGCATGAACTGGCTTCTTCCAAGAAGTCAGATTGAATTGCATGTGCATTTAAATCCTCTTTTTTTTCCTCTGCTTTTTTTTTTTTTACTTTGAATACCACAGTCCCAGCATCTCTTGAGTTATGAAGATGTACATGACAAATTGCTAATGGGATTGACTAACTTGATTATTGGAAGCAGACTTACCTGCTGCAACACTGAGTCCCACAAAAATCAGTTACACCCTGTCCTTTGGAGGAGTGTTTGTGTATTCAAACTGTAATTGAGATGCTACAGTGATAGGTTACAGTGAGGCTTTCTAAGTCTCCTTTCTCTTATTTTAGGCTTTCCTGAAGTAAAATGGAGTTAGGGCTGTGCTGGTGAGAAATTAGCCTTTGTTCTAGTCTTGGTAGTTTCATTACATGGTGGTTACACTAATTATACCTGTATGGGAGAAATCATAGAATCTTTTGGGTTGGAAAGGACCTTAAAGATTATCTAGTTCCAACCCTCCTGCATGAGCAGGGACACCTCACACTACACCAGAGCTCCATCCAACCTGACCTCGAACACTTCCAGGGAGAGAGCATCCACAACTTTCCTGGGCAAATGGTTCACATTTTCTTTGCCTCATTTCTTCAGTTCTCATTCTCTTCCCAACCATAATTTAATTGCATAAGTTGTTTATTTAAAAATGGACTGAGAAGTATGGCTTTTTTGTTATCCTCTGGTATCTGTTATTCTTAGAATCCCTGGAAAATGCCTTGCCAGGAGCAGTTAAATTACATTCCTTGAGAAGTCTACCAAGGAATGTTTGGCATGGGAAGTTCTCAGTGGCTTTTATGTATCCCACAAAGCTGTTCATTTGCAGGCTACAAAGCATTGAGCAGATTCATTGTCTGATGTGGATCCAATTCCAGTAACCTCGTACTGAGTTGTATGCAAACTGGCAAAAGATCTGAATCTGGAGGTTTGCTTACCTGATGGCAGCTTCTAGAACTTTAATGGGAAAGTTCTTTTTTGGAAAATGTTCTCCTCGCATTTCTAAAATGACTTTAAGAGAAAAAGAGACAGTCCAGCAAAGTGACAGAAGGGAAACATCCTCACGAAAAATTCTCAATTATTAAAGGCTCTTAAATGTCTTTTCCAGGTAGTTCTTCCCAACATAAACAAGACTTCCATGCAAGCTGTTTTAGATTACTTGTACACCAAGCAACTGTCCTCCAGTCGGGAACTGGACACACTTGAGTTAATTGCATTGGCAAACAGGTTTTGCCTTCCTCACCTGGTTGCACTAGCAGGTAAGAGTGTGTGGCCTCGTCCAAAGAAGCCTTTTCTGCAATGGCTGAAAAAGATTTTAATGTTTTTAGCTGTCTGGGAAAAGTAATATTTTTTTTCTGAAAGGAACATTGTAATACAAATCGATATTTTCACTTAGAAAAATGTATTTGCCTTTCCCTTGCCTTTTTTAGTTTAATGCTAAACCAGCTCAGAACACTGAAGTATTCTGTCCTTTGAAAAACAGGAAAAGTAAACCTTCTCTTTAGCATTCATATGTCTGTAGTTTGTAGTATCCATTCTGTCATTCTTAATCTACCTGAAAACAGGATGGATTCCAGGCTTTCCACTGCATAACAAATAAAATGTTCCATTATATGTTTATATTCAAAGAGAGTAAGTGAGCCAATTCAAAACTGATAGAGATGGTTATGTTTTTTAGAAATTCTGTTTGGGTTCCCTTTTTATTGCTTGGATGGGAATTGGTTATTTTGATATATAGATGGGGATTCAAAACCCCCATTTCAAAAAGAAAATCTTTCCTATCACATATTTAGAGAAAATGAGAGGATAGGATATAATTTGGTTTTAAAATTAAATATGTACAGAGCCCAGACCTCCAGGGGAGAGGGGTTGTTTATTTGCTTCTATGTATGTAAATTGGCACTGTTCTGGCCAAGGCCAAAACTGAAAAACTACACGTTTATAGGACAAAAATTAGGCGAAATTAAACCACATACTAAACCCTAGCTGTCCTTCAGTTGTGCATCAGGGTTATGTACCTTGTCTTCACTAGCTCTGACAGACCAAATCTTTATTGCCTGATTTTATACTCACATTTTAACTGAAGTCTTGATTATTCTTTAAAGTAGTTGCAGCATAAATATAAATATTGTATTAAGAATATTTCATTCCATTTAATTCTTGATCAAATATTATTTAGTCCAAAAGCTACTGCCAACAACTGGATCCAGCAGAATCAAATCAGCTGACAACATTTCCCAAAATACACTCAAACCTCTAAAACATGTATGCTTCTAGGAAAAAGTTAAGGAGACTCTTGAATTGAAGTGACTTTTGGGGGAGCTGGTAAGCCTTCATCTGGATTCCTAGAAACAACTAATCTGAGGGCCCTAAGTGAACTTTTCTGTATCACTGCTGTGGGTACACTCATTAATAAACCCAGAATACAATGGCAAGTGCACTATTGCCTAAAAACTCTTGCATTTGTATTACCTAAGAGACAGCTGATCCATATTTCTAATTTATTGCATCCATCATTCTGCCAGAAAGAGACTAGTGGCTGTCGAACTTTGTTCTCACATAAACGGTTATTAATTGCAGGCTCCCTTTCAGTAAGAAAGACATATGAATTGTATGTGAAACCAGAAATAAATAGTTCGGGTTTAAGCGAAGAGGCAAAACCTTGTCTGGACTGTGCTCCACTGGAAAACAGTTCATAGCTGTGATGCAGAATCTCCAGCCACTCTAAGCACCAGAAAGTAACTGCACCCAAATCTGAACTTGCTCAGGATATCTGGGTCAATGTGCCATTTGCATAATGCTAGCGTTAACACGAGGAGCAGGGAGAACATGCCTTCTTGGTTCTGTTACTTGTGTGTGATCTGACCTTGAAATGGGACTTTCCGACATGAGTGAATGAGTTTTCTCCTCTAACAGAACAACATGCAGTACAAGAGCTGACAAAAGCCTCCATGAGCGGCATTGCAATAGAGGGAGAAGTTCTATCCTATTTGGAATTGGCTCAGGTCAGTGTGCACTGGTTTTAAAAGATGTGGCCAACTGCAGGGCTTGCTTTTAGCACCTTACTGGTACTGAGCATTGTTTCTAAGTGGCTCAGAGTCTGCAGATCTAAGGGTGACTTACAATAACAGTTTTATTTTCTATTGTAAAGAAGTTTTCTACATTACTTGAATAGATGTTTCATCTTTGGACTAATCTGAGAGGAGTTGTCTTTCAAACATTTTTTTTCTTGACTGTGGAGCTTCTAAGCTCTGTGTTCTCATGGCCATGTTTCAGTACTATGAAAAGTAGTGTAATGAAGCAGTTCATCTGTATAATATTGACTGATTCTTGGGGTCCTTTCAATTCACTTCTATATATATTTAGACCTGTATTGAAAAGATAACATTTTTTGTATTCTTAGACTTGACATTTAGACTGGCTACATGGAGCCAGTCATTTGATCAAACCCTACTACTTCATGTTCACACACAATTCAATATTTCCTGAGCTTCAGAAACCACAAGAAGAGAGAGCACAAGTTAAACTGCATGCCTCTGTTTTCCAAAAGCAGTGCTACAGCAGCCACCCAGATACAGTAGTACATGCTAAAATATTTTTTTTAAATTTAATTATTCTGGATTTTACACTAACCTTGAGTCTGGCTGCAGCTTGACTTGAAGTCTGGAGTTAAAGTAGCACTGAAATACAGCACAAGCTGGACATTATACAAGACTTCCTGCAGCTACTTAAGTCCCTCCTTTGCAATACCTGTCCTGCTGCTGCAAAACCAGGACTGAATCCCTGCCAAGAAAAGGCAGATTGCTTCACTTTATTTTGATTTTATGAAGGTTTGTTTGGTTTTTTTTTTCCTCCTAGTTGAAGACAGAAGTAGTATAACTACAGCTAGGATATCCTCTATGCACAGTACCTACATCAGTAGGATGTTTATAACCTGACAAGATCATAGTAGATTGTCAGAACACTAAAACAGGTACATGTGCTATGTAATCTGACTTCCAATATAGCTGTGCTTCATACAATCATAGGAAGCTTGTGTAAGATTCTTTATTTGAAAGGCTTTACTTCTATCAATGAGCATAGCTTTCCAGGCAGTTACTTAAAATCAGGGTTTGCAGTAGCTGATAGGAATACATGACTGGTACAATCATAACCAGAGAATTCAGGTCCAGTGTGCCTTGGGTCCAGAGTCTGTGTGGGACTGAATACAGTTTGCCAGATGCTGTGCATGCTAAGCACCTATTCATAAGACTTTTCTGCCACTGGTTGTTCCAGCAGAATTGTGCAACAAGGTCTAGGGCATCTAGAGGACACTTCAGCCTCAGAAACTCTCCAGTAAGCTTGGGAGAGTGCTGCCTGATACAGTCCATCCTAGTTTTACTTCTTAATTGAGGCTGCAAAATGGATGATAACCTCCGGAAATGAAATGAGCTCTTTGTTTTTCTTTACAGTTTCACAATGCTAACCAGCTGGCAGCTTGGTGCTTGCACTACATCTGCACCAACTACAACAGCGTTTGCTCCAAATACCGCAAGGAAATCAAAGCTAAATCTTCAGGTATGGGCAACTTCCCTCTCTGGTTCTCACAATATTTCCCCTTCTTTCTCCCCACTCAGTTGATTAAACAGGAAGACAAAGATAAGCTCTGATAGCTAATGGGACTGAACCTCTGCACTATCTTGGGTAGAATTAATAACTTGTTATCTGTAAGGAAATGTCATAATCATTAGTCTGATTCTTAGGCAAACATTATCTTTTATACCTATTTCAATTAGATTAAAAGGAACAGAGCTGTTTTCAGGCTCCACAATGAAATACACCCTCTGTAAAGGACTTGGTCTTTCACACTCTTCAGCGAACCACAGTCTCTTAACATTTCTGGGATTTGTGCATCTAATTGGCTTGTTTGGGGGCTTTTTGGTTGTTTCTTTTTAATCAGATAATCAAGAGTATTTTGAGAGGCACCGCTGGCCGCCTGTCTGGTATTTAAAGGAAGAAGATCACTACCAGCGAGTTAAAAAAGAAAGAGAAAAGGAAGATGTTGCACTGAATAAACACCATTCAAAGCGGAAGTGGTGCTTCTGGAATTCCTCTGCTGTAGTTGCCTGAACAAAGCAAAGAAGTGGAAATCCATAGCCAGTGTCTGAAATTAGTCTTATTGTTAGAAATCAGATGTAGTTCAGGTTTTCAGGAAATTTTGTTCCATGTGTGCATTTATTATTGCTAGGGTCAAAAGCACAAGCTCACTGAAAGTGAGTCTGGAACAGCTCCTTGAAGTCATATGTATATTTTTGGCTAGTAAGCAGATAGATGTCTACCATTATTACATTTCTTTTTATACACAAAAAATTTCCAGCATTAATGTTTCAATCTCCAATTGGGAAATATTTTTATACTGTCTGGTGTATTTTGTTTGGATAAGTTTCTGGGTACTGTTTTATTTTACAGACCACAAAGTAAACATGTAGCAGCTTTGTAATTAGATTTTAACTATTTTTACTATGCGAGTTCAGTGAAATAGACAATCTTCAGCCACTAGGGACCGCTTTTAGAGTATCTCGTAACAAGTCATCTTAGGAAAAAATCTAGTTGCCTAGTATAGATTGTCTTTTTTAAACTAAATACTGTGCACTGGTAATATAATTAGATGGTTCTTTCCCCTTTCTAAAGTAAAGGGTTAGAATAAAATCCAATAACTGCAAGATAAAGAGTGCTTGATCTTTGCTCAGCTGAATAACAGGCAATATAACTACCTGTTCAACTGCAGGCAAATGTATTTTTAATATTTGCCATGTAAGTGCAAATAATTATAACTATGTGGGCCATGTGAAATCTACTGATTCTAAGTATTCAGAGGTTTTATATGTCTAGATCAAAGAGGGTATTTCAAAAAAATAATTTAGAAGGGCTTATTAATTTATATCCTTATACGAGTATGGATCTTAATTCAAAAAGCAGTTATACTGCTTGCATTTGAATTACTGCATGGCAGTTACCTTGCTCTGTGAGATCTTAACCATGCAGCCATTCCTCATGCTGAATTCCTTTTTGCTTCAGTGCAAGCAAATGAAAGGGCTGCAAAAACAAGCAGGTTTTATCTAGTGTTACAGCATTTTGTAAATGAGGAAGGGTCTTCACATACAATCACTTTAGTTTGATCAAAATTGTTTTATAGCTTTCCCCAGGTAGAACTCAAAATGTTAAGACTATTTTTAAGTAGATTGTATGTTTCCCCTGGAAGTAGATACTCCAAGAAAGCTGGAGGCAAAATAATGGCAGAAAGGCAGGAATTCTGCACAAGTGGTGCAAGAAAAAAAGCCTCCAGTGTTTTCAAACGGCCTGTGTGTTTATGACTTTTTATCAACCATTACTCTAAAGCTGCAGTGTTACACTAGGTTACATAAGGATGAGAGCATTTTTTTAAAAGACCAAAACTAAAATACATAGATTGTAGAACATACACATGCAATCCTGTGCAGTGTCTCAGGCACAATTCTGTAACCAAGTTAGTATTGTGTATTAGGTTCTTTAATACTGTTTTGTGCTGGCATGTCAGCATACCAATGTGAAAAGCTGTTTGTCTGTTTTTTTCCTGTATTCAAAGGCAAGGCAACACAGTCAAACCCCAGTACTGTAGGTCAGGAAAGGCTTTGGACTGAAAGCCATATACACCTCTACATATTTGCATTCTGAATGGACTAATTCTTGGCAGATGCTACCACAGGATGGTAGAAGCCACCCAACTTGGAAGGAGATGCTGCTCTACAAACTTGTCTAACGAAAGCAACTGACAGATTCCTACCCCTCTTAGGTTCATCACCGTGCAGTGATAAAGAAGGGCTATAAATGATGGTTGAAAATATGTCTCCTTAATTCTTGGTCAATGATCATGTATATTGTGGAGGAGAAAAATGGAATGAGAGAAGATGTGTCAAGACTAAGATGAGATATATATCTGTTGTCATAAAATGCTAACCAGTCACATTTTAAGTAAGTATTGCTACTAGGTTTTACACAACCAAAGCTACTGTATGATTGTAATCTTGCCAAACTCTAATGGATATATATAAAATGAACCTGAGGTATATGCAATAATATCCAGTTGTGCTAGTTATCAGCTACTATAACCAAGTGGCTGGTTCATTTGGTTAATGCTGTCTATGGCCTTTAATCTTGGTCGTTATTTTGTGGTTTTTATTTTGCAAAAAAAGTCAATAAAACTGTTTAGTTACAAATTGTCTCCCAGCTCTTTGAAGAAGGTTCCTATATTTTGCGTTATGTGTCACCCTTTTTTGTGCTGCTTGCACACATTCAGTGGTGTCATCATTCATTGATTTTTACTGAACTGGCACTTGCATGGTATATTAAGACTTACGGTTTGGAAAGTGACAATGAAATCCTACAGTGTTTATATATGATGCTGCAAGGTTGGTGCTTGTAACTTACTGATAAATTACACAGCCAAAAAAAATCTCTCACCACTTTCCCCCATGGTTTGTGATATTTAATTACCATGATGTTACCCAAGGGACACGAAGCTAATTATTCATGACAGATGTGCAAGTAAACAGAGCATACTGAAAGCCTCACTGACTTCCTGCTAAACCTTGTACAAACACTGGTTTCCCTGCTTCCTCACTACCTTACTTGCCAACCATTATGCAATAATCTTACTGGACTCTGAGCAAATACCTCCCTGAATATAGTTTAATTGATAGAAGTAGAAAATTGGTGCTTTTCTAGAGGATTTTTGCAAGATGTCATACAAAGAATGCTATTTTTGTGATTTTTAAAGCTCTCAAGCAATGTCAAGGACATTAAAAGTAAGCATATTCAGCACAATGTACATTTTTTTAAAGGACTAATTTACAAGAATGTTACATATCTCAGTGATTTATTTTTGGAAGCAAAAGTTTATTTCTTTGAACTCATCATTAGAAAAGGTAGTAGACCCAAGAGAAAAGTGGTGACATTAGATGCTACACTGTTTCTCCTGATCATGATAAAGCCAGTAGCATGGAAAGAAGGAATAAGTAAGAAGCTTTGTTCTTAAGGACACTTTAAAATATTATGACATCCAGAAGAAATTGCATGTTCTTTGTTTCTGGGGGATCTCATTCAGCTTATTTCTTAGAAACAGTGTTTTTCTATTTGTTCTTTAAGAAATAATTTCTGCTAGCAAGTTCCTCTGCATCACAACACAAACCAGCTTTTGTGGCTTCCCACCCAAAAATAGCACAAAGTCAGAAATAGAAGTACTCTGTGAGTAAGATGGGATTGACCAGACTTCAACCACAACTCTCTAATTTGATTCAATGAAGACCTACCCAACGTATTTTAGTCAGATCAGGCCTGGAAGTGAGCAGCAAAGGTAAGCTAGGTAGTATTAAATATGTGGGTACATTACAAAAGGTTGTCTAAGAGAACAGACTGATCTGGACATCCCTCCTGAGCACTGAAAACAGGATTGCACCACAGCAAGTAAGGGAAGAGCACCACAGTGCTTTTTTGTCCTAATTCTTCAGGAACTTACCCACAGAATGTCCCTCAAGAATAACTTATGCCTGTAAGTGATTAATTTGTAAAATCAGGGGTTTTTCCCCATGTTCCAGTAGCAAGCACCAGGAAATCAGGTGAAGGCATCTTGGAAATCCTGCTCTGAAAGCCAAGTCTTCCATCTTCTGTACAGAGGTTTAGGCAAAACTCTAATGTTCTAAATAGGATTAATTTTTTAACCTAAACTCCAGACTTTTTAAGACTACAGTGTGGTGAAGAGATTGGCTTTGTCAGATGAAACTACAGTTTTGTCCCTATTCTATCCCTTTTTTCCATATCCTGTCTTTTATTTCCTTGCCACTGGATAGGCCAGCATTTACTTGCTCTGGGTTGAAGTCCATGGTATGTAGTATGCAGTGAGGTGTCTTTAAGTGTTTGGCACTCCTGAATCCCCTTAGATTTTTTTTTTCTATTAAAAATGAGCTAACAGTATTTGCGTGAGTCTGCTCCTGCAGGCAAAATTCCTGTAGAAATGGCTGAGATACCACATACACACTTTGGACTTTGAGGTGCCACCTAATGAATGTACATGTTATCACTTGCCTGTGTTCCAAATCTGCTAGCAGAGATTTGCTCTGTGTACTGCATGCAGGATAAGACTGTTAGCAGCAATAATTCCCTTCCTGCAGGCTCTACAATAAGATAATTCATTGTCAGTTAACATATGCCTTTGCCTTTAGCTAAGGCAATATATCCTCCCTAATGGATTCACTTTGCACCAGCAGCCAGTGTAGTGAAACCATTGTGTATTTATACATGTAAACTAAATCCCTCACTGCTGCTTACATAAAAATCCTGATTTCTGGTAGAAATGTGAAAAGCTTTTGGATCAAGGCTGCAGGAGACTAAGAAGAAAATTTGAACACCAGAAGATGCAAGAATGATTATGTTAATGTATTCCCACTCTAGAGAAAATCAAATCAAGATGACAAAGATGTGATTCAGAGCGAGCAGTTAGCATGGGACAACAGAATTGTGATGGCTCCTTTATAATTGTTCAGCCTTACTATTTCCTTTGTAAACAGGCCCTATAGCTACAACATCCTGCTGGGCTGTTCCTGCAACCATAGATTGTACCCAGGTGCAAATCCTATGTTTCAGCCCCACCGTGGGGGTCACAGGCTACAGTGAAAACATATTACGTTGCTGATCCATCTCAAGTCCTTTCCTGCACAGCTCTGGTACCCTGCAATCTGTCCTTTGGCCTGCAGAAGAGTACCACCTCCCAGAGTGTACCAGTACCACCTCCTTGACATCTATTTTTGTCTTATGTTGAAGGACATTCAAGAACAGCAAGGAACTTACCCCAGTATATGAAGGATCTGCAGCCAATCTCCTTTGCTAGGACAGCACACAGTGGTAGAACAAAGCTCTGAGGCAGCCAGGCATTATCCTGTTCAGGGATTTCAAGATAAAAAATAGAAAGTTAAGAACTTAAAAAAAAATAAATTCAGAGACCAAGTCATAGAGCACAGAAGGACCAGCTGCATGACAACCTGGAAAGCAACATTTCAGGTACCATTTAAAGATACTAAATTGGGGAGGGCAAGACTCCTTGTAGATATCAGCTCTGGTTTTCAGCTTTAAAAAAAAAAAAAACCAAACACAAAACAAACAAACAAAAAACCCCACCAAAAACAGCCTTCACTACTAAATAAGGTTATTAAGCTGGGTTCCAGCCCCCTGTATTGCACAAGTCTGAGCAGCCACACTGGGTGAATGTCTCTTTCCACCCATCAGATTGTGGCTGCCCTGAAGTTTTGGATAAGCAGCCAGATAATGACACTTCACAGGGAAGATTTTCTTAGGACATATTCTTAACTTTAACACTAAAAAAACAGAAATGAGACTCTCAATTCCCCATGAGGTTTAATATTTTTTTTCATGTTATGGCTTTAAGTTAATAAGGATTACATGGCATGTCAGGTATTAGTGCTGTGTGGTCAAAATTATCCTCAGAGATTAAAAATCCCTGCAATTATCAGTGGTTTAAGAATATATGATTAAATATGAATCTTAGTCATTAAATATAAGCTGGTCATTCTGACTGGTTGATCAGATGTGATTGCTCCCACCTCCCAGCTATTAGAAATACTAAGTTATGCTCTACATATTGCAAAGAAGTTTCTTTCAGTTTCTCTCCTGGGTCCTCAATTAGACTTACAGCCTGCTTTCAAAGTTGTGTGGATTACAGTGCTGATTATATCAACATTTTCAGTTTTAGTGTATCTGGGGTTAGTTTTCAGATAATTAGAAAAATCTCATCATGCGATAATTCTGTTAGATGATGATGTCTTTTCCCCCAAGCTGTATAAAGAAAAGGGGTTTTCTAAGAAGCCTCCAAAGACTCTCCAGGGCCAGGGAAGCTCTGTGGATCTTTCCCATTTCTGCACAGCAGAGTTCGTGGGAAAAGGTGTATTGGTTTGCAGGAAATGTATCGAGTGTCACTAGTCCTGTGGTCTGTAAGACATCCAACAGTACACTAAAACAATCTCAGTCAAGTGCAAGTATTCACACACTTACTAATCTTCATAGATTAAGCTTAGTCTTTACTTCATAGCTGTCCCAGGGGCACACAGAGCTTTTTCTGCCCCCCTCAGGATGGTCTGCTAAGGCAGGTCTTCCCCAGCTTTTTTCCCCCCCTTCATTTTGGCTGGCCAAGGGCAGTAAAGTTGAAGTACACAGCTGTGATTCCTGG